ATGTCACCCAACCTGAGACGTGAGGAGGGACGGTGGCTTCCTTCCTGGGTTCTGATCACATTGTGGTTATCTTAGACCAGGGGAGGAATGCTGGCGTTACAGACCCCACTGAGATACACATGGAATAACATACCGTCTAGAGTGAGCTTAAAAATCTCCCCTGGGGAGCACTGGACGGGAGCAAGAGGGGAAGGGTAGTGCTGAGCCGCGGGATGGGGCCAGGTTGTGCCGCACGGTCCTTGTAATGTGGGTGTCTGAGTGCTTCCCAGAGGACCAGGGCTGTCTTTTAAAGAAAGGGTCAGGGACGCTTAGTAATAAGTGGAGAATTTCGTAATTATTTTTATATTCTTTTTCAAACATGACCTGAAAAATATTTCCTACTTTGGAAATGAATATGAGGCCTAATACAGATTTTATTTTACCAACCAAGAAAGTGTGGTTACCTGTGTTCAGTGTTAGCCCATTCTGAATGGGACAGTATCGTAAGTATTCTGGAAGCAAGAGGCAGAATCATGTATCATTATATGTAATTCATAATTAGAGGCAAGTTGCAGAATACATAGATGGATGTGTCAGTGCAGATAGAGATCGATGAGGGATGCATAGGTACCAGGAAGATGGATGGTAGCTGTGAACCTTTCTTAAGTGAACATGTACGTTTGTGGGGAAGAAATAAGTAAAACAGTAGGATGTAGAATTTTGGTCCTAATCTCTTTTGAGATTATTTTTTGTATTAAATGGTTTTAATTCTCAGATGCTGAAAAGAAAATGGAAGATTTGCACCCTGGGTTGGAGTTTGGTGGTCCCTGAGGGTGGGTCTTCCCAAGTCCTCACTCCAGGCCTCCGTGTGGATCCAGGAGTCAGTCTGAACTGTGTGACTGCTCTGGGGACGGAGGAAGCCTCTCAGAAGTCCCCGGCAGCTTATGTAAAAACTTAGTAGCTCAGAAAAGCTATAAGAGATGAATCACAGTCTACGAGAGGCAAACTAAAAGGAACTTGAGTTGGTTTAGTTTCCTTGAGGGGGGGAGGAACTAAATCAATATTCATTCTGAGTGCAGTCAAGAATATCCTAATTTGAGAACATGAAAATTCTCAAACAGAAGGTGCATATTCTGCTTCTGGGGAGGGACAATAGCAGAGGCCAGAGGCCACCGCTGCTCCATGCAGACTGATCTCAGGTGCAAGGGTGTCCTACGCCTTGGGCTCAGAACCAGGTGAGTCCGGGTTTGCATCAGGATCCAGTGCCCAGGCCAGGCTGGGTTCTTCAGTCTCCCCAGTGCCCTTAGCTGTTAAGATGATGATGACGTTGAGCTGTGGGGTCCCCATGAGGACCCAGGGCTTCTGAGGTGCGTGGCTTTGCTTCTGGCCTGATGGTGAGTCAGCCCTGGTTGTTTGGTGGCAATGGTGGTAAGGGCAGCGTTGGCACAGTTATCACAGGGCATAAACCACAGACCACAAAACCCACCCTCACCGAGTGCTCACAGGAGGACACTCTAGCACCAGCACTCCCCGCTCACCACGATGGACAGGTCCGGCATGGAAGGGTGCCGAGGGGCTGACCTGGGTCCAGCAATAGGACCTTCTCTCCCCAAGACTCCTGTCCTGTCTAAGGAAGAAGAGACCAGCACTAATGGGGTGAGGTCACCGATCCTTTACCCTATCAGGCTTTGGGTTCAGCTACTCCTGCGTGGCTGATCCTAGGGACCAGAGGCCTGGAGGCCAGCTGGAGCAATCAGCCTCTTCCTGCAGCATCCCCAGTCGAGGTGGCCTCCATGTTTATGCCAAGAAGAAAACCCAGAAGAGCTGACCAGTCGAGGCTAGGCCTCCTCCCTGCCCTTGCTGGTGAGGTGGCCTCTGCAGGAGGAAGCGGGAGGAAGGTGACCCACAAGTTTGCTGCCACTTTGCTGAGAACTTCCCATGCACCAGGCCCTCCATCTGCCGGGGTGGATCCTCCCAGCACTTCCGTAGGCCAGGTGGGATGACCCCACCTCACAGCTGAAGGTTCAGAGCCTCAGAAAGGTTGAGAACTCTCCCCTGGGTCAAGCTGGCAAGGGGAGGGGCTGCAGCCCAGCTCACGCCCGACCCCTCCTTACCTGCTCCTCTGCCCTCCCTGCACCTGTGTTGAGAGTCAACACACCTGGATCAGTGCACAGCCCAGGGCCATCCTGGAGGTGTGAGACAGCCAGAACATGGATCTGGCCAGCCCTGGGCCGCTCAGTTGGGACAGCCAGCCAAGTACCCCCTGCGCATGGTCAGAGGAAGATCCCCCTGGGCTGCTGTGCAGGTGCAGCAAGGCCCGAGTGCTGGCAGTGCGGCCCCTGACTCACTAAGCGGTAGGACGCTCGGGTCTCAGACCCGCCTGGGCCTTCCCACCCTGCGGACGGTGCTCAGTTGAGGTTCTGAGAGGCAGAAGTGCACTCAGAGAGAACGAACGAGCCTGAATTCCCAGCCCTGGCCCAGAGCCGCAGGGGCCAGCAGGAGCCCCTGCCTACCTAGAAAAGGCCCTGTCCTCCTGCTGGACTGGAGAGAGTGGAGCTGCGCCCAGCTCTCTGCAGCCCCCTCGGAGCCCCCAGGCACCACACCCTTCCTCATTCCAGGTATACGTGGGCTCCGTGGTCCCAGGATGGCTGCAGCTTTAGGAAGGGAGGGTTCTGTGGAGTCCTGGCCCCTGGGCAGAGAGGCCTGGCTGCAGGGCTTTGGCTCAGGATTCAGTGCAACTGTTGGGAAGGAAGACTGGTGGGACAGCTTCTCTTGCCCTTCCTGCATGCCCTTGGGGTCACCAGGCACATGGGCCTCTCAAGCCCTTGGTTTTTGTGAAATCGCTCCACCTATACTCCTGACCAGGGCACAACCTCGGAACTTCTCCTCCCCATCCCAGGAGCCCGGCCTCCTCCTCTGATCGGATTCTTGTTCCTCCACCCTCGGCCCCTCTGCGTCTTCCCACCTCTCTGATTTTCCCCTGGCGCCTCCCTCTCACACCAGTCCCCCCGCACTCCCAGCTCTATGCTATTTAAGTTCTGATTCCCATCCTTTGGCTAACGGTCGTTTAATTTCCTCATGTGTTTGGCTTAATGCCGAAGAGTATTCTTTCCCAATAAAAACGGTAAAGACCTTTCATTTTCTCGGGAGGATCTTATGTAAATGCAGCAGTGCATTTCATAAGCTGGTTCTGTTTCCTGCGGCTCCCTTGGCTTGGGGAGCTCTGTGACTTTTTCCTTGGTTATAAAAGTCCTACATATTCATCATCGGAAATGAGAAAAATGGAGACTGGTACCAGGAAGAGATTACAACATTACCCCAGCACCCGGAGGGAGCTGATGCTCTGGTCTCAGGGCCGGGCCTGCTGCTATTTCTCGTGCAGGTGTGCATGCATCTGTGTGTCTGTGCATGTGTGAACGTGCGTGTGTGGCTTGCTCTTACAGTTTTGTGCCCTACTGTTTTCATTTGGGTACGTTGGAGCAGCTCCCAAAGCAGCATTGAACGGTCTTAAGAACATGATTCCACAGCCTCCATTATCTCGTGGAGACGTCCTAAACCATCCCTGTCTCCTGCGTATGAAGACAGCGTCCCCCATTTCCCTGCGGTAGGCCAGGCACCATGCGCAGGGGCAGCCCTCGCTGTGCCTCTGCTGGCGCAGCGGCCGCACCCGGCAGGGTTCCGGCGGGAGCCTGACGTGACCTGCTTGCTGTGAAATCTAGAGAGGATTCCGAGGAGGCACCAGGCAGCACCTGGCACCTCACGGACACTCGTGCCACCATGCTGGTTCTTGCTGCTTCCCTAAGAGCAGTTCTGGAGATGGGGCTGCGGCCCCCAGGGTGCACACTGTCCCTTGTTCACATAAACTCCTGGGCACACTGGGGCAGTAGGGAGAACGGGGAGCCCAGGGTGCCCGTGCTCCCGGGGAGTGTTGCAGGATGCAGCTCCGCACGGTGTCCTGGCGTGGCCATGGGCCCCGCCTGCAGGTCCAGAGCCCCCTTGTTGCCCTCCTTGGTTCTACACATGGTGACGTCTGTGCGGGTTCTTCTCTTCATCTGCCTAGTCACTAGACCTGTTCATCACTCTGGGGGTCCCTTTTCCACCCACTCCCGCCAGACTCCTAGAGGACGTTCATCTCTGTGGCTGAATTTTGGTCATTTAAAAACTGTTATACACATGGAATTTGCAGAATGTGACCTTTGGGGATGGGCGTGGTTCACTTAGCATAGTTCTCTCGAGACCCATGCACCTTTCCATGTGTCAGTGGCCCCATTTCCTTGCTAGGTAGTGTTCTGGGGCATGGAGGTGGCCGTTGGCCTAACGTTTCCCCACAGTAGGGCGCTGGGCCATTTCCAGTATTTGCTGCCCATGGCCAGTCCCCAGTATTTGCCTTCAGTTTCTCGGAGGCCGTGTGGCTGTTTTGGAATCAGTACCCTTATTCTGGTTGGTTGGAATACCTCTAGTGTCAACTTGACATTTATAATTAACCAGCACCCTCAAGGTACTCAGTAAATCCAAACATGAGATTCCCAAAGGGCTGAGATCAACGGCCACTTCAAATCTAGCCAGAGAGCGGGCAGTGAAGGTGGCAGGGTGGGGTGTCCAGCCAGCCTCACAGGGCCAGGTCCCTGTGAGGGACCTCTCCCGCCTTGGGCGGGGCTTTGAGGAGGAGGGATCCCTTCTTCCCTCTACCCGCCAGGGGCTCGGCATCAGATACCACATGCCCTGGCCCTCATCTGCAACAGTGGCCATTTAAAATCCTCGGAGGAGAGACCACAGAAGAATTGAAACGAGGGAATTTTGCTGGAGATTTGTTACTCCAAGTTCAAAGAAGCTCCCTGAAAACTGTTGCTAAGGCAGTTGAATAGAAAAATTGCACAGTTGGAGTAAGCAATAACCACGAGATGGTGAACGTAATTGTGTGTTTTACAACAGCCAACCCCAAAGCGCGACTTGCCCGACATGTTTTTAATGATTTGAGAGGTGACATGTGTTTTCAGGGATGTGGAAAGAAAACTCACGCTGTCTGGTTCCCCAGCCTTGTAGGACCATCTCCTTGGTGAGGATGTGACCGTCCTCCCAGGGCACCCTGGCCATGGCTGCTCCCGCAGGGCTGGGTTGGGTGTTCTCACCCCTGCAGCCTGCCGGGCTGAACCCAAACCCTAACTGCCACGTGCTGGTGTATCTGTCCAGGATTTGGAGCATTTCCTAACGTAGAATCAACGGTGCCTGTGTAGGAAGCCACGGTTCCTGGTCGTCCTTGACTTTGTGCCAGTCCAAACCTGACAGAGCAGCAAGAAATTCCCGAGGCAGCTGTAGGACTGTGCCTCCAACAGAACTAGGAAATGGAACTCCCTCCCGGGACAGGAGATGATCAGCTCAGAGCATGGAGAGCCAGGGGCTTGGCTGCCTCCATCTGCTCTGTGATTTCCAGCCCTTCTGCCCAGCTCCTCATTGCCCAGAAGAGGGAACACTCTCCTGGCAGCCATTACCAACCCCATTTGCATTGAATAGAAGCCGCAGTGTCTAGGGTGAATAGGGCAGAGACAACAGAGTCCTTCTTATATCTCACACCCACATCCAAGGGCACTGTGCCAGGCGTCCTCAGCGTCCTGCCTGCCCTGCACCCAGCAGGAATGCCTACCTGAGCTGCCCTTCCTGGGAAGCAGGCTGGGCCCGCAGATGGCCTCCAAGGGTCCTGGGTCAGCCACCTTGAGAAAGGAACAGGGAGAAGCAGAAGGAAAGCCAGCGATGGAATTAAACCAGCTCTCCACAAAATTTTTTAAAAAAACCTTCCCACGTGTGTGAATATTCATGCAAATTTCACGTAGTATGCGTAGGGGGCGGGCATCCTTGAACGCACACCTCCAAATTTCGGAACTGAGCTGGACAAATGGAACAGGACTCCTGATGTACAGCCAGCGTCTCCCAGGAGCCATACCCGGCCTCCGTGTCTAGACACAGATATAGCTGCCAGGACCACGTGGCAAGGGCCACACGAGCCCGGCAGGTGCTGGGCCTGCCACAGACCCAGATGCAGATGAGGTGCTGGGGCCAGGTCCAGAGATGGGGGGGTTTAAAAAGGTGGTACGCACCAGCCCCTCTCCCGAGTGCCGGGCTCAGAGCCTGATGTGTGCTCCTCCAAACCTGGGCCTGTCACTGTCCTCAGCCCCGCTGCTGGGTCTGCTCCTGGGCTGAAGAACTGTAGCAGAGGAACCTCGCTGGGCTGGCCCACTCCAAGCCCCCAAAAGGCAGCTCGGCCTTAACTGCACCCTTCACATCCCTAAAACCAAGCTGAGCCGTGAAGCTCAGGTCACCTGTGACCTTAGAGACCCCAACCAGCAGGAGGTTCAGCCCTGGTCGTGGTGTGGACCCCAGGGTGCACCCTGGCCTCTTCCCGAGGTCCTCCCTGCAGTGCACAGGGCTCTCATCTGCGTGGCTGCCTCTCGTCTGTCCTGTTTGCCATTCCGGGCATGTCATCCAGCCTGAATTGCGCTCCACCACCAGCGCCTCCTCACTCTGTCTCCTCTACCCTCACGGCGCCCTTCCCAATCTTGCCGCACTGCGTACTGAGATCACAGCCGCATTTACAGGGTGGGAGGCTGGCGAGAAGCCTTCGGAGGAACGCGGGAACCCTTTGTTCTGTGCTCTGGTTTTACGGTAAGACCGGAGCACCCGGAGCTGGAGTGTAGCCAGGATCCACCTCCCTTAGCTGAACGGATGGGAAACCTGGCCATCTGGGGCTTCTGCCTTGTGGAGTGCAGATGCACCTAGTGGGCCTCGGAATGGGAACCCGAGAGGTCCCTTACTGCGTCCCCTTGCGCAGTCTTTGGATGGGGTGTGCAGAGACCAAAGGGAGCCCCAAACCACTCAGCATTCTGTCAGCAGAGCCGTGTCCCCAGAAGAGGCCTCTGGACCCAGCCTCAAAACCAGTTCAGAAACTCATTCCTTCTTCCTGTGTCTCCAGCCAGAGGCCACCTGGAGGTCCCTGCCCTGCTCAGGGTTCTGGTTGAGACACTCTGAACTGCAGGCAGCGTCTCTCCTGTGCCAGTTGCAGGTGGCCTGAGCTCAGGTGCAGCGAGGTGGGCGCGGGATGATCAGTCTCCCATGGCGGCCAGCCGTCCACTTCCCTTCCTCTGCAGCCTCCCCTGCCCTCTGTGCCCTCGGCTCCTGCCCTGTCCCTCCCTGGGCGCTGCTCCTTCCTACTCTTCCCTCAGGTGGCCACTTGTGAACATCCCAGCAAGGAGGCCCTGTGACACTGAGCTCGCCACCAGCTCCAGCTCTCAGTAAGAGTCTCTTGGGGGAAGTGAGATTGGTCACCAGCTGGGTAGTGGTAGGTCAAGGGGGCAGGGCAGGATCACCAGGAGCCACGGTGTCCTGTCCAGGGCTCTAGGGAGCAGGCTGGATGCCACTCAGTGAGACCCCATGTGCCATGGTGGGTGCAGGCTGCCCACTGCAGTCCCCCGGCTCTTTCTCCTAAGTCTCCACTTGAAAGGAGAAGCTCAGGGGATGCTTGTCACATAGGTCCCCCATCCAGCCAACCTGACAGGGCCATGCCATGACAACCCACCCAGGGACTGGGCAGAGATCGTCCTGGGTCCCCCCTTTGCCTTCCTGGCCCACAGGAGCCCTGCACACCCAAGAAACCCCGAGTTGGCCCAGAGCGCCCAGGTGTGCTCAGCCACAGCCACTCTTGCCCTGGACTGACTGCCACAGGACCCTGGCTGCGAGCATGCTCCTGGGGGCCTCTCCTGCCTTCCCAAGGGCAAGGGGGCAACTTTTCCCGGACAAGCCCTGGGAACGGAGGAGCTGAGCCACACACCATTGCTCCCCAGTGCAGGAGATCTGCAGGTGGGAGTGTGGCCTCCCACTAAAATAGTCAGGTGGTGAAAGATCACCGTGGGCATTTGGCCACTTGGAGACCGCGAGACTGCGAGAGCCTTGCACCACTATCAGAGCACTTCAGAGCCACCTGGGTAGTCAACAGGCATGAAGTTGAATTTTGTATTCAGCCCGGTGGGCTTTTGAGTCATTTTTTTCTGTTGTCCTAGGGATTAAACCCAGGGGTGCTCTACCACCAAGCTGCATCCCCAGCCCTTTGTATTTTTGAATTTTGAGATAGGGTCTAAGTTGCTGAGGCTGGCCTTGAACTTGTGGTCCTCCTGCCTTGGCCTCCTGAGTAGCTGGGATCGGAGGTGTGCACCACCCTGTCTGGCTGAGTAATTCTCTCACATGCCCCCTGCACGCTTGCTCCCCCCGCCCTGAGAGGCAGGTGATACTGATACTGCAGTTGTTTACAGATTGGTGAACTGAGGTTCCTGTGGTCACAGTCTTGCCCCTAGGGTGCAGGAGGAGACAGCAGGTGAAGGGGTGATGTTAAGGGCAGAACTTCAACCCCAAATCCACCGCTCTGACACGGTTCCAGAGGGAGGCTGGGCTGAGTGAAGAGCATCCTCAGGCAGCCCCTGGGGGTCAACAGACACCCACCCCTGGCTGGCTGGGCCTGGGCAGCTCGGGCAGCTCTGTGTGCCTCAGTTTCCTGTGTCCCCACTTTCAAGTGGCTCCTGGCTTGTGGTTGGTGCCCGGCGAGTACAGGATCCTCCCCCGCGGGCATCCCAAGGCTCCCAGACACCGCAGTTCTCCGACTCGCAGAGGGCTCAGCTGAACATGGATGAAGGATCAATATCCGGCCGAGAGCAGGGCTCTGTCTTCTCATTTATCTCCCATCTCGTTCTAGTATCACAGCATGCCAATCAAACCACATGGAAGGTTCGTGGTGACTTGCCACGCTTGCTTATGACCTCCAGTGCTGATATGCCCCCAAGCTGGATGGCTACACCAAATTCTTGGTGCCTCTGTGTCTCCTGCTTACATTTCAGCTCATTAGCTGTGTGTGTGTGTGTGTGTGTGTGTGTGTGTGTGTGTTCATTCTCTGTTTCTGGATGAAGGACAGAAGGTTTACAGAGCTGTTCAGCATGTGGCTGTGCATCCCTGTGCCTCCTGACACGTGGCCCTGGGGCCTTCTGGGGCCATGAGCGGTGGCGGGCAGGGGTCCCAGTTGGTAACAGCTGGTCGAGGCTGGGTGCTTCCCTGACACAGCCCCATCCTCGGGGCTCCTGTGAGCTTCCTGCTCAGTCTCCCTTGGCCCTGCTGCAGGCTAATTCACAAGGACAAAAGATATGTAATGACCCCACGTCACAGATCTTCCCTTGGCTCCTTAATTGAATGAGGGAACTGGTAAGATGTCATGACCAGTTCCAGAGAGCCATGGAAACCAAACCCGTCCTGGAGTAGAGGAGGAGGAGGAGGGATGTACCAGAGACAAGGATCCTTCTCCCCTGGAGGCCTCCAGTGAAATCTTTCTTGCTTATTCCAAATTTCCTTGCAACCTCCCGCCTTTTGCCCAAAAGAGTCTCAAAGAAGCACCATTCTCAGTAACAGTGGGGCTGGGCTGGCGAGGTGGCAGGATTGTTGCGCAGAGGTGGCGGGAGTGTTGGGTGCCCCAGTGGCCTCTTTTGAGTTTGGCTTGCTGGGAGACTTCATAGTTAGACTTTTAAAAGCCTCCATTATACGCTGTCCTGAGGCCAGGAAGCCAAGCTCAGAGAAATCAAGGCTCTTCCTTTGGATTTCACTTGTAGTCCTTTGTCATAAATCTGGGTGATTCCTGGGGCCCCACCTGGACCCACTGTGTGGGAATCCCAGAGCTGGGCTCGCCCAGAGCCGCAACGCTGTTGCTGAGTAATGGTAGACCCTATCCTATTGGGAGATGGTATTAAAACCACATCCATCCTTGAAACAGGCCCAGCCAGCAAGCCCTCAGCAGCTATGGACTGGACACTCTCTGAGTTGGCCTTGCTCTGCAGGACCTGTCCCCCTTCTCCAGAAGTCTTAGACAAATCAAATATTCAAAAAAAGAGGCTTCCTGCCCTCCTCTTCTGCAGCTTCCAGCCTGGAGTCTGTGAGCCACAAAGTACATCGGCCCAAGGAGAATGAGCTGCTCAGAGGACCAAATGGGAAAGCTAGAACCTGGCCCACCTTGGTGGGTCAGCAGCCGGGACCCCAGACTCAGCCCTGCTGGGCTCTGGCAGAAAGGCTGGGCGTGAACTGAGCCCATGCTGCAGACGGGCACGGTGGAACGAGGCCGGGTTTGGGGGCCGGTAAAGGCAGGCCTCCTCTGACGGTGAGGTCGGGGCACCTGCCACTCATGAGGAGAAGGCAGGACCAAGAGCCAGGGGTGGGGGACAGGGAGGGCTTAGCCAGGACACAGGCTACAGGGAACACACCCTGGAACCTCCCGTACCCTGTGGGCAGGAGGAGCCAGCACAGGCCTTGCAAGGCAAAGTGGCCATCAGGGGAGGGGACAGAGATGAGGCCAGAGGACCAGGGTGACCAGGGCTGAGCTGGGCCAGCAGCCAGACTGGGCACCAGGGCTGACCAGCAGTACTGGTGGTGCAGCTCCGAGGGTGGACACAGGTGTGAGCAGGTGTGCTCTTTGCCTTGTTGCTACCGGAATAGTGGCACTCAGGAAGTGTCACTGGCCATAGGAAGGCTGTTTAGGGAGGAAAGTCTGTTTTCCATATCTCTCTGTTTCCAAGAAAAGGAAAAGCAAACTAAGCTAAGTAATAATAATAATAATAATGTGACAGGCACCAAAAAATAGCCATCTTCTCAGGCTTGCTCCTCACCCACCCCCGGGGGCTCATGCTGTTTA